TTTGTGCAGTGCATTAGTGTTTACACCCATTGTCTGGTGTCCTGGCTGCACCTGCACAGCTGCTCCTCCAGTTCTGCACTGCTACACCTGAGGCAGCTCAGCAAACCTGAACCACCTTCTGTCCTCTGTCTTCCTTGGTTCTGTTTCACCTGCTGGGTTTGTGTTCATGAGAACACATGATGTGTGAGTTCCTAAAGCTACCAAAACTTAATCAGGTGACAAGAATTCACATTGCAAGGGTTCCAGTTCAGCCATTTTTGCCAGTGGACTGAAATGAAAACCAAAGTCTTTTCCCTGTTACAAGACAGAAACTGGTCTCTATGCAGGTCTTTGTTAATTAGACGATGCCTAAAAATCCCAAATTGAACAGAAATTAAGTCAAGCACCTTGCTTCATGCACAACCAGCATTCCATGTTTTCTCTTTCATTTGTTCAGGCTGAGCTTTGCACATTTTTGCTGCAGTTGATATCAGGAAACAATCTCCTATAAAAGTCTGTACCTAATGAAAATGATAAACATCCCCTGGCAGAGAAGGCAGGTGTGTTACTGGCTACTCAAATTAGACTAGTTTGAGTCAGGCATCAGGAGACATTTAGGCAACCCCTTCCTCTTCCCAAGGGTACATCTTCAATCAATCCTGCTATGGCACAGTCTCAGCTATCTGATCCCTAAGTGACATTAGGACCAAGGACACTGATGGAAAAGACTTGTCCCATTATCCAAACTGAATCTTCCCTGTGCTGGAGCAGAAATGCAGAGCTGAAATGATCTTCAAACCCCACAACATTCACAGCTCTGAGTTATCTTAGCAGTGTGCTGCAACCAAACTGAATAATGATCTGTGCTTTTGTTTAAAGTTAACATTTAATTTGTTTTCTTTTACATCAGACAAAACTTGGATACACTGAAGATTTCAGCTGCAGTGATCAATAGGAGAGGTGGGTCAGCCAGGTAAATAAATGTAAGCCTTGCTGATCTACATGGTAATTGTCATATAGCTGATCTGCACTAGCTTATGCTAGCTAAGAATATGTATGGCCTTTCATTTCTATTTTAGTAAAGTTCAGGAAAGTTTCAGGTAGTAATTTTTGTGCTGAGCTTCACCTTCTCTATGAGTGAAGACGGATCCTCCACAGAAACCTGAAGCTGTTCCAAAGCTGATTTACACAAAAAGTGCATTGATTTTGCTAGAGGAACAATTTTGTATGACCTCAAAGTCCCTGAATTTCCCAAGTGTGGATGGAGTAAATACAGAACTCGATCTCTTCTGAGTCTATCAGCAATGCCTGGAATAATTTGTATTCACAACAGTCTTCCAGGCTGAATGCACGACCAGGATTTAGGTCTGATGGAACGAGGTGGGGACAAAAGTAGGTCAGGCTTGGAATCCTGCTTTACCAGCCTGCACGCTTCAGGACGAGTGCAGATCCCCAATGTCTGCAGGGCTAGTGATGATTCCCATCTGAATCACTACTTTAGATTCCAACAGCAAAATGATGCACTGGCTCTATTTTCACAAGTCTGCTCAAGTGCTCATGAAATAGATTTTTGGTTTTATCTGTGTGTCCTTCTTACTGCAAATACTGTGCGCTCAGAAAGAGAAAGAGCAATTTTTTCTATTGATGGAGCGAGTGAACAGCCATTCATTTACAGAGTATCTGTGTGTTCTGTACAATTCAAATGCTGCCTATTCAGCCAGTCAGATATCTTTGTTCTATGTCCAAGTAGGCATTTATTCATCACTACATCACCCTGCCATTCAAAGGCTCAGATGTTTAAAGATATATATAGGCGATATTTGGCTGGCACTGGCATCCCTGAATGGCTTGGACAGCCAAGTCCCATCGGACGTCTAAGTCCTCTTGTTAAAGGCAAACAGAAACTCAAGCTCTCAGGGCTGACTTTCAGGCACCTACATCACTTGGATGGTATCTCTGAGATGTTTAAAGGATCTGTTTTCTGAGACTGTAATAAGCACATGTAACATGGACAGATGTATGCATATCATGGGATGGGCATATCCAGTGACCTGTCCTGCATCCTGAAATTCACTGATATAAAACCAGAATACTTAATTCTCGCATAGAAGTTGACTGAGAAGCCACAGCTGGTGTGCTGCAGATCATGCTTATTAAACACATAATCATTTCAGTCTTACCTGGTGCTTCCCCATCTGTCTGCATCTTCTCTGTATCTCATCTCCCACTCAGACAGGAGCTCCTTGGGATGGGGAATGTCTTTTCACTGAGTTTATACAGATCCACGTACCACCCAGCTCTGAACCGGCTCTCAGGCTGAGAGGATGGCACTCACTAAGGAAACTTCCCATGTTGTAGAAGGGGATTATTTTCAACACCTCCATATGATGGGTTTACTTGGAGAGTTACTTGGACCAGAGCTTTTGATCTCCTAGTCTGACTTCCTGTATACCACAGATTGTAGACACTCATCCTTTTATTCCCAATGGGAGTAGAGTGATGTATGTTTGACTGGAGGTCAACTCCTGGAAAGGCATCCAGCCTTGTTGGGGTGAGATCAAAGGGAAAAAAATTAGGTGTTCTTGTCGCTGCAATAGTTTGTCCCTTTTCATTTACCACAGCTGAAAGTCTTGAGCCTGTTCCCAGTTCTGGTGAATTCTTATGGATGTGCTTGTCTCAGCTGGAAAGTTGTATCTTAGAGAGATTGAATAATAAGAGTAGCAGTAATGAAAAAGCACCTCGCAACTATTTACATGACATTTGCATCCAGTGAGGCAGCGTTCCAAGTGTCACAGGTGTTGATATCAAATTGAGAGTGTCTCAGGCTCTCTTGGCAATAATAAAAAAGCTGTCAGTCTTCTTCCTTCACAAACATCTACTGTCACCTCTACAAAACCACAAGTTTCCTTTGCTTTTACTTTGGTTTCCAAATAAAAAGAGATCACAACCTTACCTAGTTCTGCAAGCTGTGCAACACCTCTGCAGGAATAACTAGGTATCCCATAGTGCAACTTCCCATTTTAACTTGGGGCTAAGTTGTCCCTTATTGTTACCTGAGTTTGTTCAGCGCTCTAGAGGAGCTCCCTTCTCATGCAGCACCTTTAGAGATCACAGTGCCAGCTGAGCAGGCTAGCACCAAGATCCCTTGTCCTTCTAGTCCCTTCTTCCCTCCCCAAGGCTGGTTTTGCCCATGGAAGGTGCAGGAGCACAGACACACACAGCACCATGTTCCATCTCCAACTAGTGCGTGTGTGGCTTTTTGGAACCAGCTCAACATATGTGAAGGAGAGTTTAACCAGAAAAGGAAATATAAGCAAAGTGGTTGCATCCTTTTGCAATCAAGTATTTTCAAGGCTGGCCGTCATGTGCTTAATGAGCAGACTTTTTCCAGTTACCAATGAATAGTTTTATTTTACGTAATTGCAACCATTTCAGCATGGCAATTAAGATAGAATGTTACCTTTGGGATGGGATCAATTAAAGGCTTGAAAATTGAATTTGGGATCATGATTAGTCTCTTATACATTGCTTTAGTATTCTAAAATATATAATTGTATCATTCAACCCTTTTTCATACATATAGTAAATATAACCTTTCAGGGTTTCTTTTTAAGCAGAAACAGATTTTTAGAGGCCTACTGGTAACTAAAACCATAGAAAAATAGGGAAAAGGGCTTCCCCTATTTGATTAGAGGAGATTTTAAACTTATCATACATGAAAATGTTGAATTTAGTGTAATTGGTTGTTGGATTTCTTCAGAATTGAAATCATTATGTGATGGCCACATTCCAGGACATCTTTATTTTATTCTCTCTTTTTTTCTGGGTTTTTTTTTCCCCCTAAGTTACAATTCAAACCAATGTGGAACACACTGTAATGTTGTAGTTGGTCATGTAATGTCACCAAAGCTGACTTCAGAATACAGACAAAGGACTTCACGTACCTCAGTGCTCCACCGGTGGAAAATTGATAGCAGCACAAGATATGCTATTACAGGCTTTTTGTTCTACCTCCAAACTTGTGCTGACTAAAGTGCTTTTGTGCCTGAATGGGGGGAAAAATCTGTCTAAAAAAGGCTGGAAGCTTAAAACAAATGCGGCACGGAGGGCATAGATTCTTAAGCAGGACGGTGTGAATTTAGCTGGAGCTCACTACATGACAACCCAAGTGCTTTATTTTTGTCAATTACTATTTCCTGAAAGGACATGAATCACAGGGAAAATGATCAAGCTGCAAAAAATAAAATTCTCTCCAACACCGAAAAAAGTAAAATGAAATAGAAGAATTAAGCAGTGTTTCCTAACTCTTGTCAGTCCAGAGTGGAGTTATTGCCAGGTTTGTACACACCACAATCTATTCAAGCATTACTGAGAGATAGGAGGCAGAGATGCACTTTGAATGCCAATTAAGTGTGCACTTTCTTCCAAAGCAGCTTGAAAAAGTCAGCGTGACCATGGATATACGCCCCCTTCCTCCACCCTCCTTCTGAACATAAATAAATCAGCCAAATAGCACCAGTGCCGCTGCCCCCACACCCAAACTGGAGAGAAAAGGCCAAAATAAACATTGTTAATCGTGAACATTTCACCTCATCTTCTGTAGAGATATTGGTGGGGTGTCTCAGGGACCAGACAGTGAATAGCAAAAGGCTTTTGCCCCACTGCATGTGTTTCGGGTGACTTTGCAGATCCCTGGAGAGTGGAGCTGCCCTTGGAGAGCCATGATGGCCATAATCCTTCCTTTACTACAAACAATGCCTTTTTGGAATTTAGGGAATGAAATTGGGGGCCGTTTCTGTTCCCATCTCAAGGCACTTACAGGCAGGCAACCCTGAGGAACTGGCCCTTCCTTGCAAGACCAGGTGCAGGATTGTGACACCTCTACATTGCCTGTTCTGCTCCACAGAGCATTTTCTCCTCTTCCTGGCTCTCTGTGATGTCACACACACATTTCCCTTTCCATTTCAAATGAAATGTGTTCCCTCTCCATTCATTTCCCTCTAGCCCTGGGCAGAATGCACTCTGTGTCCCTGTGCAGTACACAACCCCAGCACTGCCTGAAAAAGCAAATCCCTTTTTTCCTTACACACAAGGCTGGGTTCTCCCTCTGACCTGCCAGGGCTTGGCTTTGAATTTTCATGTGAATCACAAGGTACAAGGTTAGCTGGTTCCAGACAAGGTCACTTCCATGCACGGCAGCAGCAGTGGGAGTGAGTAACCTCCTATCCATCCACAGCTCTTGCTTCTATTTATCCATAGTTTTATTGAAGAATTCTTCTCCTCCACACAGACAAATCGAGCTGACATCCTGAGAGGTAACTAAATAGCAGTTACAAAACAAATGGACCAATAGCCTATTTAGCCTAGCCAGTGTGATCAGAATATATCCTTCAAAATAAAACACCAGTGGATGGGGTATGGGAGTCCTCCAGATGGCCGAGTGGATAGCTTTCTAGGGTCAGCATGAATATTTAAACAGCATTTTCTACAGTGCAAGCATTAAAGGCACAAAGTTGGAGTTGCTCGTGGTATCCATGGAACCCAGATTGTGAGCAAGGATACCACTTTACCAAAGAAAAAAGGCAAAACAGTCAGGCTTTTTGATGTATATAGGAAATACATTTATTTATTTATTTATTTATTTCTGTGTTTTAATCATGCAGGTTTTTCAGTGATGGGGTTTTTTCACGCTGGCTTTGTGCTGGCTGACAACAGCACCAGAGACTTGCCATGTTTGGAATCAGTGTTGGGGAGACATCAGTGGTAGCAAAGTGTTAAAATCAGATTACAGATGGTTACAGTGGTTTCAAGGAATGGCAGTTCCTTCCGGAGAGGCTGGGCCAGGCTGTGCTGGAGCTTTTGCAGACTCCTCAGTTGAATTTAGCTGACCCTGCTTAGCAGAGGCACACAGAACCCAGGGACAACACCTTGTGCAAAACAAAGCATTTCCCAGGCTGTTTCATGCCATGCCAAGTGCTCACTCTTTCCCCAGAAAGATGCACGTGCAGGAGTGCCACTGAAGCTGGGAGCCCATATTTATTCCCTTGACTTTTTACTCTGCTTTCCCAAACAAGAAGTGGTTTTCACTTACAAGCTCCATTTCTTTCCTGCCAGGATGCCACTCCTGCATCCCCTAGATTCCTGACCTTGTACCCCCACTGTCAACAACCCTTTCACCAGCAAGCACATGCTTGCTGTCACCCAAAGAAGCCCCTTCTGAAAATGATCCTGCTTCCAATAATCCCTCTCTTTAAAGAAAAATACAAAGATGAGTTAATGCTACCACGAATTCAATAACCACACCATTATCCAAAAATTATACTGCCATGGCTTACAGCCTCTGGGATGAAATTATCTAAGGGTCCACAGACAACTCCTAAAAAATCCCTGAAGAGCCACCAGTAAAGCAAACCTACTCTTCATGGCTTTAAATTCCCTGTGCATGGATCCTCACCTCCAATGGAGCTTAACAAAGTGAGGAAAGACAAATCCATTTTCCAGCTCTGCTCAAGGTTTCATGCAGAATTATTACATAAATACACAGCATCATTCTAAAGGCCTTCAAAACCGGTCTGGGTTTGTTGGTGTTCACCTCTATTTTGTAATGGGATCATGCCCATGCTCAGCCTTGTTCCCAGTCCAGGTCAGAATTTTGGAAGTGTAAGCTATAGATTAGTGTGGTTGCTCTGTATCACCTTGCTGATGTTAGTCTTGGAGCCAATTGTTTTGAACAATGTGATTTCAACTTTATTAAAAATTAGGTGACTGGACTGAGATAAAGGGATCTGTGATACAGGTTTTCTCAGCACATAGCACTATATACAAAAAAAAATTAAAAAAAAATAAAAATTACTATTTAACAATGATCACTACAATCTACATGTTGTTCCTTTGATCTTCCAAATAATGTTTTGCTAAACAGACCTCTTGTGATTTCTTTTTTTTTCCCATCTGTTTTGCTGAGACTAAGCCCCACAATGAGTACAGTACCCAGAGTGTTTTCCACTGGGAGGTTTATTCCAGATCTTAGTACCCAGGGTTACTGCAAGGTAACCAGGAAAGAAATATTTCTTTCTTCCTTTCCTACCTTCTTTCTCCTCATAACTGTATCAAAGACATGACAAATACAATGAATTTAAAGGGATTTTTTTAGCCTGTCTCAGAAAGCTGCTTTTAAAAAAGTCAAGCCTGCTGTACAAGCACATCTGGTGTATAGCTGCACATGTACCTGTCCTCTCAGACATTTAGCATGTGGTGATACCTCTCTGATACACAGCTTTCTCCAGGATGCTGTGATGAGGCAGGGGATTGCACAGGTTCATCCTGGGTTGTACCAGTTCAGCCCAGGGCACCAGGCAGGGAGGGGGCACAGACCCCTGCTCAGACACCACACTTTAAGTAAAAGACTTTCTTCCTTCTCCTGAGATCCTACTCCTACTTATTTCAACTCTGTCCTTTGCCAAGGAGAAAGGAAGCCAGCAGGATTTGCTTTCAAAACTCCATCCTTTCCCTGATCCCGTACTGCCCAGCTGCAGTCCCAGGACATTTCCTTTGGCTGGGGGCTAGGCAAACAGTTCTCTCCTCAACCAACAGACATCCCTCTGCTTCCTGAGCCAGCCTTGGGTGCTACTCTGTGATTGGGACCATCTCTCCTGTTCCAGACACCAGTGAGCTACATCTGGGTTGGATTTAAATCTTCCTCTGGGCCAAAATCTTTCCTGACTTTGCTATTTGAAATAACTGTTTCCATCCCAGACTCCTGCCCATCTTCCCCTTCTGTCCATGACAGAAAATAAAAACAGAAATAGCACTAAAACACAATCTCTAAAACTTGTCAAAGAGAGAATTAACACATTTTAGTTGGTAAATATGATTACTTGTGGGAATTGTGCCTTTGAAACCAAATCAGCAGGAGGAAGGGGCTGAGTTCTGCCTGCTGCTCAGCTGATGAGTGCCTAAGTCAGGTTGCCAGTGACCCCCTTTGGAATCTGTGGCAAAAAACCAGGCCCATAAAGAAAACAAAATTGCATTCAGGATGGGCATATCCTCTCCACTGGTTGGTAAAGGATATTATCAAAATCCTTGGGTAGGTGTCTTGTTTAAGTATCTATTCTTAGGTAGGATGACTGAAGCCAAGCCAAAAGCCTTGCAGTGCATGATACCAGGCCGGATACAGGGATGAAACAGGCTGGAGTTATCCACTGAAACTTGATTTCCAAACCAGCTGTACTGCAAGCTTTGTTTCCTCACATGGGGTGGTATCACCGGTCACAGATCAATACTGGTGCTAAACAAAGTCGTGTTGAATTTCTGAGGCAGTGCCGTGTCTGGCGTAGCTTCCTTGCTGCTCACAACACCAGGGCCAGAAGTGTGGTGGCAAGACTTCTGTTCCAAGCAGGAAAAATGGGGAGGTGATGAAATGAGGATCTGCCCAAGGCTCTGGAAAACTGGAGACAGATGATGGTGCACTGTATTAGGCAGGCACTGGCTGATGAGCAAGAGCAAGCAGTGATGGATTCCAGCAGCAGGGACATTTGCTGCCCAGATTGCAGGAGTAAATGGTTGGAATCTTTATACACCAGAGTCCCTACAAAAATAACATGCAAGAAATGTTTTGGAGTGGCTACTTTCAATAAGCTGAAGGGAGCAGTTGCCCTCTTGCAAATAAGGCACCTCCTGACCTATTTCTTAATAGGAGCTGAAATCAAAGACCCTTTATGCTGCTGAAAGTCTGAAACTGGGAAGCCATTCCAGCAAGGAAGAAGTCCTGAGGCACTTCTCCTTGTCCCTTATATGTTGTTCTTTCTAGCCTTTGGCTACTCATGGAAAGAAATGCCTTTTACTTAAACATAGTTTGACTAATTAATCTATTCCATCTGTTCTTTCCTCCCAAAAATGTAACCATGACACTGAAGTTTCCGAAACAGATTTGGTTCTCATATTGATAAACAGGTCACAGAAAAACAGGAGTGCGGTGAAAGGGATGAAGGGAAATGTTGGGATTTTAGCTTTTATTTCATCCTGACCAGCTTCTGATGCTTTTATGCAGATGGTGATTTATACAGGTGCTGTGTACGTGCGGGCAGTCAACAAACACACTGAGATTGTTCACGCAACCAGATCAGGAAAGCCCATCAGTGCTGGCAGAAAAGGCTCCAAAAATGCAGTGTGTTAAAATGGAGGGGTTGGACAAATTTCAGCAGAATTAAGTCATTCCTTTGGATTTTTCAGGTGATTTTCCTCTTGAAACAAGTACCCAGAATCTGGTGTCATCCACAGAGACTAGTAAATAGAGGTATAGTTTGATCATTTTCTTAAAACATTAAAAAAAGAGCCAGGTGGGTTAATTTTTAACAGTTCCAAGTGCACCTGAGCTGCTTTGACACTCCCCAGTTCACACTGCTGCAGAGCTGAGAGCAGCCTTGTGCCATGTGCAAGTTTGCTTCTAACAAGTTAGCCCTGCTCGTGGAGATCAAACGCCCTTTATCTGAACCGACAGCAGGTAACTGATCAAATATTACTGAGTTTGCCTTTAAAATTTAACCTGCAAGACTTACACTGCATCCTGTCGGATTTTATGTTTCGTGACACAGTGTGCCAGAACCAGGCAGTACAGCACAGCATAATACAACGTGACAGCTAAATCCAAAGGAAAAGACAGTTCTCCTACAACAATTAACCACTCTGGATACTTGGAGTGCTCTGGAGTTACAGCAGCAATCAAGGAGTCCCCATAGCAGGCCTGTCAGCTGCAGCGATGCCCATCTTTTTTGAAGGCTCAAAGCCATGCTGCTGGTGCTGGTTTCCTGAACTTTGTTTGGTTTGGGATAAAAAAAAACTTTGAATGGGTTTGGGGTTTTTTTGCTTGTTTAAATGTTCTGTTTAGTTTCTTTTCTTGGCAATAGATTGACCATGTTACTGCTCCATTGCAAAAGTATAATATTATTATTTCCAAACTTGAAGAGAAAATAGTAAAAAATACATTCTCTAATGAGATAAGTGCAGTCAGTCCAGACTGTATGTAATTTGGATAACCTTGACAACTAACACAATAAACAGTGCCATGATTTTAAGTGGGGATGAGCTAGCATGTTACAATCTCCCTGCCAAATCTAATACAGGCGCCAAGCCTTCCAGGTGTTTCATTGTGTTATCACACAGAACTAACATAATTTTTTCTTTCAGTTCTGAAGAGGTGGTCCAAAATGTTTAAACTACAGTAGTTGCAACATGTCAAAGAGGGAATTTATTATCTCAGCCCCAATAGGTCTTAATAAGCCTTACACAACTGTTTAGGCATTTATTCTATTAACGGCTGTTCATTCCAGTGGCTTCACCTGAATATTCATGATCTTACTATTCCCAGTGCTTCAGTGTAGCAGCTGTTTGAAATCCACAGCAAATGTTCAAGAGAGTTCCACAAATATAAACACCCTCACAGCTGAATGTTTGGGGCCTGTGCATCGCAGAGGAGAGACATGAAACATTTATGTGGAGTGATTTTTGGAGGACGGCATTTACAAAGCTTAAATAGTCCTCGCACATTTGGGAGCACTTCAGTGTGATTGGGACATTACCATGGAGGACAAAGAGTCTGGAAGAGCCCACATCCCACAACGTTACGCTTGCCTCTGTGCGATAATTCAGCGTAACGGAGGATTCCTGCTAAATTCCAGATTCAGAATCAAACCTAGGCAACTGGAATCGATGGTGGGGTGTTCTGGGTTTTTTTTCCTTGCCTCGTCAACATGGGATTGAATAAGGATGGGAATAAGGGAGGGAACATGAAAGTAAAAAAAAGCAAAGTGTTCAATTAAATTAAACTAATCAAAGAAGGAAACAGGTCATTATAAATAAATCCTAAAAATATTTAAATCACCTCATTTGTGTAGGAACTGAGTGTCTAGCTCAGGTCTCTACCTATGTAAACCATTTGCCTCGTATTAAGTAGAAAACAAGTTATGATGGAGTCTAACCAGATAAGACACTTTAATTAGCAGGCACATGGAGGACATAAAGAATTCAAGCTCTCTCAGAGGAGTGGGGATGGGAAGAGAGTGCTCTACCTGTGGTTCCATCTGTTCTGCCACTGCCTGTGTCTCTGGCATGTAGAAATTGTCACGGGTGCAGGATTATTTAGGAACAATTTTTTGCTTGTGAGGATGGTGAGGCCCTGGCACAGATTGCCCAGTTAAGCTGTGGCTGCCCCATCCCTGGAAATGTCCAAGGCCAGGCTGGACAGGGCTTGGAGCAACCTGGGAAGTGAAGGGTGTCCCTGCCTACGGCAGGGGCTGGACTGGGATGAGCTTTAAAGTCCCTTCCTACCCAAACCATTCTGATGATTTTGTTACTATTGGTGGTCCCTACTAAATTACTGGAAAGATTTAGCCCACCTCTCACAGGACAGGTGCTCATCTGATTGAAAAGGCTTGGAGAGCATGAGAGGATGTTTTGCTCCAGGAAGATGGAGCAGAGGTGCTGGCAGTGGGATTAGGCTTTGGCAATGTTGCTGTCTGCAGGAAGGACTCGGAGGGGAAGCATGAAGTAAGTCCTGGGACAGTTGAGGGCACTATCCCAGGACCTGCAAGACTGAGATTTTGGCCCCATTTCATAGATTTCCATAGATTTTCCATAGATAGTTATGAAATCTCTGATGCTGGGGATGGTTTTCACCACAGAAAGTGCCAAGTGAGGTAGAAACAGGAGAGCAGGACTTTCTCCTACAGCGATTTGAAAACATTCCCTTTCCAGTTCATGAGGTGCATCTGCATTTCCTTCCTAAAGACTTTCCTGCTTCTTAAGTCAAGATCCACATGTGGACAGATGCACTTCTGATGAAAGAAGAACAGAAATAGAAACTGGAAACACAACAGCCAAAAGTGTTCCCCACTCTCTGAACCGCTCAAATAGGAAATTTTAGAGTGACTCTGGTGGCCACTTTTCCCTGGACTTCTTTTAATACACTGACAGATTTGACACAAGAGCAACACTGAGTTACAGTTAATTAAATAGTTAAACTAGAGATACTGTTAATTAAATAGTTAAGCTATACTCAAATGACAATAAATGTCAGTCTAGATATTGCAAATATGCATATTCCTATGTGTTGTGCATGCAAACCAGTTAAGATCTTCCGTAAACTATTGAATACAGCCATATTTAGCTTTTGTAGAATTCAGAGAAAAGGAATGGCCTTTCAGAGACTTTGCCACCACACAGATCTCACAAAAAAATAAGAGTTCTAGTGTTTAAAGGAAACCTTACAACAGTCCCGGGATTTTCAGTAATATACTGGGGGAGGCATTGTTCATATACAGACCTGATCTCTGTGAACAGTAACGGTTCCAGGCTAATAATGAAATAATCCATTTTTAGTAGATGAAAGAAGGGGGATCAGAAAAGTAACTTGATCCGTGGGTAATAATGGTGCCAAAAGCTTATAATGGAAAATATCTAAAGAATCCGAGACTCTCTTTGAGAGATATGAATGATTTCTTTTTTCTTGCGAAAAGTGTATGAAGAACTTGAGAAGAAGTGCCTGAGTGAATTTTATGAGAAAAAGCTCTGTTTGGGGGAGAAAGGGGCAGTGTCGAGTTGCAGCCCAAACACAGCCCAGCCTTACGTAACAGGAGGCACAGCTGAAAGATGCTCTGACGCCTGCACTCAATGCACTTGCACTTTGACTTGTTTTTTCTTTCTCCCTCTCCTTTCATTTTCTGCTCTCCCAAAACCAGTTTATAAATCAGCAGGAAAACGTCCCTGTGTCCAATTTTCCATCTATTAACACGGTCCATGATTCATACTCTAATGATCATTCAGCAGCAAGAAAATATTGAGTAAAATCACTAAAATCAACTCAACACTTGCTGTTTATTTCGACACAGTAAGGGTTTTGCCATTGCTGCCCAAATACTTTGATTGGGCAGTCAAACTAAATTTCATACAGATACATCACCAGTGTGCACTGCTCATTTTAGCTCACTTGTGCAAACGATCCTTACTCAGACAACCAGCCCTGATAACATCCCAGAGTCTCTCCACAGAGAGAGACTGGCAGGACCCTCCCCTCTCTCTGTGGAAGGTTTGGAACTTCAGCATTGAATCCTGAAACACACTCAGGATTTAGCCAGAACTAATGCCCTTGTACAACAGTATTCTTTGAAGTTTTTACAGATATCAACCTACCTATCTGTTTTTTACAGCTGGGGAAGGTGAGACACCAGGGGACAAATATTGCCTGTGGTTATGCAGCAGATCTGCTCATAGTGTGCTCTCAGACAGTGTGCTGTCTGTCTGGATGAGGCAGACATAGGAAGCTGGGTTTAGGGTAGGTAAAATGGCCCTTTTGGCCATTCCCTCCATTAAAATCCTTTTATTTTCTGCAGTTTCATCCAGTGTACTGCAGGTGTAACATCCAACTCCCACTCAGTCATCCTGGGAACATGGGTACTGGGTACCAGCAAGCAAATAATGATATTGTGGGTATTTCTCTGGCACAATCATTTAATGTGTATTGCAAAATTCAGCCTTTCTCTCTCTAGTTGTACACACATAAACCTCCCTACTGTGTGTGTGAGTGCATGTGTAATGCAAATAAATCATTGGATTTCAATGACTACTGGGCTGAGATTGAAATAAGAAATAGCTTGTTGATTACTAAGGCGATTAAAAGGATCATCTTATTGATTCCCACCCAGCCAGGCACAGACCTCAGTAATGAACATCGACTGGTTTAATAAGGGAAAAGGCAAGATTTACTGGGTGCATGTGCTTTTCATTAGAGTGAGCTGAAAGGAAATAAAAAATGCTGACCTACCCAGTCATGGGCCACTGTGCCTCTTACTCTTACGAGTGCAGCTAGTACAGCAAAGTAATAGAAAGCAGTATGTGACTTCACAGGGGCAATACTAATAAAATTATTGAAACTAAAGTACCAGAAATTAAATTATTTGCTTCCATTTATCCTTCTTTTTGGTAGTGATTTCCATTCCCTTTGCTTATAGCACAAGAATTTGGATGTCCATTAAAAATGAAAGCAGACTATGTGTTTAAAAATCGGAGGCAAGGTCTCCTTCCTTAGTAGATCTGTTGGGAGATATGAGATGCCTATAAGTAGTTCATCCATCTGGGTTCATACTAGGAGCAAATGAATCTCTGAAAGATAAGCCTGAGGTTAAAAAGGCATCAGTATGGATGTTTGTGTTATACAGGAGTTCAGACATTGGTCCTATTTGTTCTTGTAACAAATCAATGACTCTGTGAATGTCTCCTTCAGAAAGACTTTCATTTCTCAGCCTGGATCAGGTACAACTGCAGGTACCTGGCACGGGTGATGGGTGAATTTCTCTTCCTAACCATCAGCAATAGTAGCTGATTTTACAGGAAAACAAATAACCATATTTTCACATGTGTAAATCATACCTCAGAAAATTTACACTCCTGTCAGAGAACTCATACTTGAGCCTAACTCCTACACTGAGGTGTAACCTCCTCAAAATCCAAGGCAGGGAGGTCAGTAGGAACCAGACTGTGCAGGAAAGATCTTGTTTCTGGAAGAGAGGAAGTGGGTCTCTGAGAATTGGAGACGATGTGGGCTGCTGAGGGAGACAAGACTTTCAGATAAACATCCCTTCACATCACCCCTGATTCACAGAGCCCACAGCGCTGCTGAATCACAGGGATTTTTACAAATAATCAAATACCTTGCATATCACATATATGAAACATGATGTTCTTGCTTGGTAGCCCCAAGGAGAGTATTCCTTTCTAAAACAGCACAATGTGTGTTTTCTTTGCCTG